AACATAACACCAAATGTACAACGTTTTGACAAAGTTTTGTCATCCTCAGTTGCAACAAAATATTGTACATTTGCTGTTATGTTAAACTTATATTAAAGTTTTTCTTCATTACCCATTCAAGTCATCTCCAAGCATTATTAGTCACAGATACCTCAGTTGTGTACCTGACCTCATGAGCCCCTTCTCCTTTTCCTCATTCTATCACTTTTACTCTCTGTTTCCCTACCACAAGGTGGGCTATTGAGACTCTCAGCAATAACCCTTCCTTGGAGCTAATTCTAGGTTCTGATACTTTGATACCTGCCTTTATTGCCTTGCACACATGTAGTCTCTCTTCACTAATGATCCTCAGATTGTGCAAATTTTTTCATAAGGTTTGTCCTTACTTTTTTTACTCCATTCCTTTTTCTGTTCATCCTATCACCTGTTATCTTCTCTCAGATTCCCTGTGTCTTTGACATTTCCTGGGAATTTTTTCATTCTTGTACAGGGCAGGCTCATCTATTTTCCTTGTATCATCACATTATGAAGATCTTGGTATTGAAGGCTTTTCACTTTTCTATCATGGAGGATCTGTAGCACAGCTTTCCCTTGTACCTCTCCATTCATCTTTGCTTCCCACTTGTTCGGTCTCTCCAACATGACCTGGGATGGTTCAGCTACCCAACTTGCATCTTTACAATGATGCCTTCCTTTTCCCTTAGGGTCAGTTCTTGACACAACCAATCTCTCTGGGGTCTGGTCTTCTGAAGAGTGATCTCTGCTTATCAGCACTCTGGAGATGTCTGCACCTTTTCAGGCTTACCCATATCTTTGGTCATGGTTGTTGGGTTTTATGATAATCCATTCTGAAACTTCTACCTTTGTTTCTTCAATCAACCACCAGAAAGACAGCTGCTTTTGGGACTTATACTTTCTCTTGATTTTGACATCAGCCCATCTGTTTCAATGATTGCCAGTTACTGAGGAGCATTCTCCATATCTTTTTGCCTTTTACTATTCCTTTTCTTTTAGCTCTTTTCTCCTTCTTTTTGACTGTGATCATTATTATTTGTACATTCATGTCTTCATTGCTTTCTGTTCTCCATATTGTAAAGACTGGTTGAATTGTTCCCTGATTGCTTCTTTCTTCCAAAGACGTGATCTGCCTGGGTGGGTGATCAGTTGAATTTCCCACATCACTCTCTCCTAGCCCCAGTAACTCAGTGGTAAGAATTCAAATTTTGATACCTGTAGTGGGCAGAGCACAAATAGCCCATTGTGTAGTTTGTGGTTAATCACAACCAAATCATACTCTCTCTCTTTTTTATTTCCTCATTATGTGATCATTCCATTCCTGATTATCTTTTATGTCCAGTTAAGACTGTCCATTGTTATCCCACTCAGATTGCACCTTTTCATGTACTCCTCTTTTACCTGTTTTCCCATTGCTACCTCCTCCTCTAGTTTTAACCACTTGGTTTTGTCTGTATAGTAAATTCTTCTTTGGGTGAATCTGATCGAATGCTTTTTCTTGTCACCTCCAATCAGATTTGGCATATCACAGTCTCTTGCCTCCTTTTGATGCTGACCATTGGTGGAGATCTTGTAGGCTGGTATGTAGACTTCACATAACACATTGATCTAACATTATTTTCATCACTGGGCAGTTTCACCTCCCTCCAGCCACAATTCTTCAGTTTACTTAGAGGTACTCATATGGTAGTTTTTGCCTATTGATTTTAATTTCTAGCTCCTCTGTTTTGTATATTCTCTATGAGTGTGTACTGAACTTTTTGTACATATCTACAAAAAAAGAGGTTAAACATACTAAAGAGGAAAAAAGAAATTCCTAAACCAAACATCCACATATTATGTGGAAATAAACATTACATTAACTAGGTTTAGTGTTATCAGATCCTAGTAGCTGGGATTGCCTCACAGGGAATGCTTATCCAAAATTTGATTTGAATGGTGGGGGGAGTACAGAAAGTGTTAAGCCCTTCTGCCCCTCCTCAGTGCTCAATACTGAGATGGGATTATCTGCAAGACTGCTTTGGTGGTTTATCCATCTAATTGACCATGTCATTTCTGCACCTTTTACTAAAAGAAAAAACATACATCACACCTGACTCAGGCTTGCTGTCTGTAGTTGTGATAACCCATTGCACTGTCTCTAGGTGGGTATTCTCCCCCCAAGCAAATTGCTTGCCCCCCATTCTTCTAGTAGATCACAGAAGAACCCTTACCTCCCCAGTCCCAAGCTGCTTGGAAAGTTGATGTGGAAAGTTTCCTCTGTGAGTGGTACCTTCCCTGCAGTAAGATACTCATTTTGACCACTCCTCATTTGAGATGTAGAGCTGGAGTATTCACTAGAAGTGTAGTATAAAACATCCTGTTACAATATTTAACAAGCAATTCCTGATGGATATGTCCAACTGGATGGAGCTTGGATTTGCCTCAGGATGTAGTTAAGTGCTCCTCCTCCCTCCGCCTAGCTGTCATTATAGTATATGCTTCAAGTAAGTATTTGACCAAGAAGGAATATTCAAAAGCCCTAGCCACACTATACATCATAATGTTCTACCCACCTTGATGATATATAACCACCATCACTAGATTTTTCCTCATACCCTTGGCTGTACTATCACAGTAGCTTAACATTAGAAACCCACTGGGCAGGGAGTATTTCGTGCTTGGGAAGGATACAGTTTCCAACTAGCTGCTGTTCCACTAAGTAACTCCCTGTCTCATGGAAGTCACACTCTATGAGCTTTTCTTTTCTTTTACTATTTCAGGAAGGGACTCAACATTGTAATTGATCAGTACTGGCCCCTCCACCTTCTAGCTCTTGGTGGTGCAGAGAGTAAAGTAAAGTTTTTGAAGTTAACATTTTTCTTACCTGAAAATTTATTTCAGACAGATATTTTCCTCTCTTCCACCACCTCCCACCCTTTCATTTTGTTTGCCTCATGATGGATGAACCTAGGTAAAAAAATCTTAACTTTATAAATTTCCCTAATAAAGTAAAGCACATATATTTTTTGTACTGCAAAAAGTAGCAAGTGAATGAAAATTTACAGTTAATACATTAAAGGCTGTCTTCAAAATTCATGTGTGTTTCATATATGAACTCATTAGTTAGCAAATTGTGACTGTTCCTTAAATTTATCAATAATAGTTAAGTTTTATTCACTTACTTTCTTTCTAAAAACCTACAGTTTATTTTGCAAATGTGACACCCCATGCTGTTTTCTTAAACCATATTAATTGAATATAAATCTTATGAATTTCACCTAGACAACTGCAAATGTTAGTAGTATTGTAATTTCATGTTGCTCATACATTATATTGATATTAGATGTTCATTATTTTGAAGGTGTAGAAGACTAATTATATGGATGCTACATAATGTTCAAAAAATTTTGATGGGAATTCATAATACAATACTCAACTCATTACATAAATAAATAGCATTTGAAGCTGTAACTATCACTGAGGCAGACAAGGCAATTGTCTCATCTGAAATTTTGTCAAGCATAACCTTCAGTCTTTCATATTATTTCTTTTTTTCGTTAATAATTGTTTTTTTCAGATAGTTTTCTAAAATATCTAAATCTAAAATTTTATACTATGAATGATAAATCTTCAAACACAGAAGTGTATTTTCAACATTACTCCCTGATCCTAATAACTAAAAAATAAAGTCAGGAGCCACTGTATAGACCACTTTTAAATGACTTAAAATAATTTTCCACAAGGGAATTCACCCCACAGAGACATCCAGGCTCCTTCCAGTACTCTGTCCTGGACTCACTAGGGACCCCATGCAGCCCCCAGATCCTGTTACATAGTCTGATTTAGACTCTAGTTATGGTTTTTGCATCATAAAACAATAATAAAAATTATTTTCTTTTAACTTTTATCAAAAATATTTGTGATGTTCTTCTACTAAATTATGTATAAAACTACTAGTCTGTGGTAAAGTTGAAATTGTTGTTTTATTGTAGCTGCTGTCAGATTCATTCTTTGTAGCTCCAAATGACAAAATGCTGAAGCTAATGCTACAGAAGGGTGTGGAAACTTATATGTATGTGCTGAACTACACTTTTGAAGGTTTGGAAGAACTAAGACCAGAGTGGATTGGTAAGTATAACAATATAAAACTAATGCATTTAGTAGGAGACTAATTTCAATAAATAGATGGAAGTCCAAATATCTAATATTTGATGTAAAATGTATTGCAAATAGTATAGAAAGTTGGCTTCAATATGATATATATGGAGAAGCTGAGTTCTGAATGGTTTGTAAGTATCACATTGCTGTGTTTGGTAGGGATATGAGTTCAGTATTGAGAGGCATGACAGTTTAATGGCTTTCTAAGTTTATTACTATAAAGAAGCAATTAACTATTTAATAGTTTAATAATTTTGTTAGCATGGGAAAGATCTGACTTATGAATGTTAGTATTATTGTATCAAAGCTACTTTACTTATATGTAGAAGAGAATGTTTGGAAATTTGAGTAGTGCATAGAAAAAATTCTACATTATCAGTTTTTAAACTTTGTAGGGTAGGCTGGAAGATTGAAACCATGTTTACAAAAAAAAAGATGGTATTTGTATGATATGCCATAACTGTTGATAAAGGCATAAGCTGAATTATTTGGTTTAAATATAATCTTTTTTTTATTATATAAACCAGGTTCTACATTATATATTCTATATGTTTATGCTTTCAGAAAAACATGTAGGTTCAACAAGAGTCCTACCCAAAATAGCTCTCTTGACATTAGTGTCTTTTTAAAGAATAGAATTTCACACACTTACTTGTACAAAAAACCTACAGACAGACCACAGTATCTTCACCCCCTCACTAAATGGAGCATGTTCAGATGAAACAGACTATAGAAAACACACCAAGGATCTAAATCAAACTATATTACAAAGAGGATATCAAGATATTGAAATTGACAGACAGATCAAAAAAGCTAACAACACTCAGGGGGAAACATCCTAAAACAGAGTAACACTAAATTCAAAATAGAATTCTTCTTGTTATTACCTCAGGAGCATTTTGTGCATTCTGAAAGAACATTTTCATCTCCCACAATTGAACAATTGCCTTAAACCAATACTTCCTGAAGTTCCTGTTGTTTCCTTCTGGAAAAATGAAGTTTAAAAGATACTTGATCATGCACGTAAAAAGCTCATTGTCAAACCTGCAAATTCATAAAAACCACTGACTCTTTTTCTGACAAGTACAACCAGAGAAACTTTCAAATTTCTAAGGAAATTACTTGCACAACACAAAATACTATTTACCTTATAAAGTGTAAACAATGAAATCACCAGTATGTAGGAAATACCCAAATGACTCTTAGAAAACATTTCAACAACCATAAGTCTTCTATTAACACCAAAAAAGATCTCCCTGTTGCTCAACACTTCAACCAACCCAGTTATTCTACTAACAATGTGACTCTAATTGCCATTGAAATCGACTTTAAAATTAAATCTGAAGAGAGAGAAATAAAATAAGCTTATTGGATTGCTAATCTAAATACTGTTCGGCCTAGTGGAATAAATATAGATCCTGCAATTAATGATCTCTGATCATTGGTTTGTTCTCTATCAGAAAAATAATTTTTATTTAGTTATTTTTTTCATGTAGTGTGAACTCTCAATATTTACCCCAAACTTTCCTGGTACTTAATATTTATTTGTGATAATTTTCCATGCCTGTCTTTATAAAATGATCTTCTTGACATTTCTTTTTCAGTCATTCTCCATGTGTCACCTTTATTTTACTTTAACAACATTTAAGTATAGTTTTTCTTGACCATTTGTAAAGCAAAACATCTCTATCACATTTTTACATAATGCTCTTATTTCCAGCCCAGTTGCACTGGAAATGAGACACACTTAACAACAGTACACTGAAATATATATACAGAAAAACTTCCTGGAAGTCCATGTGCCTTTATGACGTTACTGAACTCCCTTTATATATCACTTATTCAGTTATACCACCATTTCCAGTTTACCCCTGAAGAAGAAAGGTCCACCTTTCGAAAGCACTCGGGTTATAAAGTTTTTATCATTTTATATATTGTAAATAGATAGTATGAGCTTTACAGTTTTGATGGAACTCAAGGCTGACTGTATAGAATTTTGCTGTTCATTGAAAAGTTTACTTAATATTTCATATCACTGTTTAAACAAATGCTTTTTCTTTTCATGGTACTGTTTTCAGATGTTATGACACTGAGTATATATTATTTTACATTCTTAAATTACAGGTGTGCCCCATGACACAGAGTATCTGCTGATTACTGGTGCTCCATTTATGGATTACAACTTCTACCCCAGTTCTTTAAAGTTATCAGAAGCTAAGTGGACACAAGCTGATCGTAATATGAGTCGATTTTTTATGGAAGCATGGGCCAACTTTGCTAGAGATGGGTATATGTGCTATTGAAACTATAAATTTTAAAATAAATTCTTGATTGGAATTATGGGAAAGTTATCTAATCAGTGTGAATGATGTTCACAATGTATTTTTCTGCTACATATTATTTTAGTTGCATAGGCTTTCTCTAAAAATATTTTTTTATGTTCTTCATAACCACTGGTTATATCCACAGTCAGCATTTGATCTAAGCAGGTTTCATCAAGTTGAAAATGCAAGAGTGTCATGTTGCATAGCTCTCACCATGTGGAAACCTGGATATAGAAATTTTATCAATAATTTTGTGTACCCATAAATTGAAATTTGCAAAGTGAAATATAGATATTTTGCTTCCTGCACTGATTAATAATGATGGTGAGCTTTTTAGCTAGCCACGAAAACAGTAAGTTTAAGTGATAATAATTAAACCTATTAAAGGGTTTAACAACCTTGGTGAACTGAGTTGTTGGAAATGGTTCAGAGGAAGGCTAACAGGATGATACCTGTAATGGAAAGGTTGTTATACAAGGATAGGTTAAGATCTCTTACCTAGTTAACAGGTTTACAAAGCTAAGTGCTAGTAGTATGTGCATTATATATACAATATTGGAAATAATTTTTGAAGTACTGAATAAAGTGGCTATGAAATGGGAACACTATGGGATTACTTAACCACTATTGTATGAAAATGAACTCGTGCACCAGAGTACAGCCACATGTTGATAGTTTATACTGTGATTGGCTGTCATTCAACCTAACATATAAAGTGACTAAACATTCTTTGCAAAGTCATTTAATAAAGTTTAAAATTTTGTTGAATAGTCAGCATGATTTCATGAGGGGAAAGTCTTTCATTACTACTATTTTGACATTCTTTGAAGTGGTCACTGTTTATGTAGATGACGGTATGGGTGTGGATTTGGTGTATCTGGATTTTCAGAAGGCATGTGACAAGGTACCACATAAAAGGCCTGTTTAAAAAGTTATATCTGTAGGTGTAAGGGATAGGTTGGCTAGATAGAAGAAAGCAGAAGTTTATAATTGGAGTTCAGTCAAACTGGATTAATATCATGAGTGGGGTACCTCAGTATTAGGACCTTTGATTTTTTTTATTTACATCAATGGCATTGGTGAAGTAATGGACAATAATAATGACATTAAAGTTTTGGAATGTTGCTGGCTGTGAAGAGGATGCTGATGCATTACAAAATGATTTGTATTATTTGTTGAGTTGGGCAAATAAATAGCGGATGGCTTTTAGTTATAATACATGCAAGGTAATACATATGAGACATAACAACTTAAATTATGAGTATAATTTTAGTAGGAATAACTTTAACAGTGTTATGAAAGAAACATATTTTGATGTTTTGGTTGATAAGCCATCCAAGCAATTTTAGGCTATATCTAGAAATTTTGAATACAAGTCTAAAGAGATTATAAAACCATTGTATAGTTAAAATGGTTACACCACATTTGAAATACTGTCTTCAGTCTTGGCTTATTACTTTAGTAAGGACATTGTATTTTGGGAAGGATCCAGAAGAGGGCTATTAGGATGATAACTGAGATGGAAAGGTTGTCATTACAAGGATAGGGTAGGATATCTTAACTTGTTTGCTCTTGAACAAAGAATTAGAAGACATTTGACCTAGGTGGTTAAGATTGTTAATGGAATTTATAGTGTTGATTCTTTTCTCTTTTTTTCATATTTAAGGGTGATAATGGAAGACTAGGAAACACAAATATACATTTTGGCAGGGTAAGAGTCATCTTCAGCTAAAACAGCATTATTTTTCTAACAGAGTGGTTGGCCGTTGGAGCAGAGTACTTTCAAATGTGGTAGATGCAATTAATTTAAGGGAGTTTAATGGAAAGTTTGCAGTTCTTTATTGGTATGTCAAAAGAAAGTGCCATACCAGCATGATATCTATAAAAGTACAGGCAGTCATACTTTTTCAAGTAGCAATGTAGTGAATGTACTTATGGTTTCTAGTAAGACCTGCACAGAAACTGAAGAGCATATGAGAAACTGGTATTACTGATGATAGAAGTGGTCAAGTTCAAACTCTTCAAACATGAGGTTCAATAACTCAGGATATACTCTTTTTGTGATGTATGACAATCCAGTGGAGATCTTGCCAACAACCTCACTGTTAGTACATGTGTGGATGTTACCTCTAGAGCAGTAAGATATACCTTGCCACAAAGTGGTCTTATTGGATCTATAACTGATCAGAAACCACTGCTTAGGAGAGCTAATCAAAGAAAGAGATTGAATTGAGCATCAAACTTCAAACAATAGGATGAGAAAAGCTGGAGAATGATGTTTTTATTATATTGCTCTTTACAGATGGACCCAAATTCAAATTGTTTGGCAACAATCAACAGTAGTTTATTTGATGGCAGAAAGTAGAACAGTATCATATTCAACTTGCAACATCTACAGTAAAGCATGGTGGGGGATCAGCACTAGTTTGAGGCTACATTTCAGTTATTGATGTCAGTAATTTACATAAAATTGATGGCACTCTAACTGCTGTAAGTGCAGGAAATATTTGATCAATCATGCCATTCTCTCATGAACAAGACTCATGAGGTATGGATTCATCTTCCAGCAAGCATATGGTAAATGTAGTGAAACAATAGCTTGATAATAAAGATGTCAGTGGAACACTTACAACCATAGTTTGGTCTGCACAAAGTCCTGACATGAAGACTGTTTAGACTGTTTGGTCTTATGTTAAAACTAAGAAGGTCATAAGTCAACCAAGTTACTTGGTTGGATTTCGGGAAGAAATATGGGACACTTGTAACAAATATTTCATAATTGTACATTTTTAACCTTTATGGCATTATGAAAACAAAGTGTAATGCTTTGTGTAAAGCTAAGGATTCTGGTAAAGTTTACTAGTGCTTTGTACATCTTTCACTTTTGTATTTTTGTGATAATGCTCTGAACAATTAATAAATTCACCATTTAGTAACTGTTAATCATTGTTTGGACTCCTGTATGTGTATCACCTGAGAATTTTTTATAATTATTTCCAATAATGAAAATGTCTATATATATATATATATATATCAGCATTAGATATGTGGGTATAGAAGAAACATGTAAAAGTTCTTGTTGAAAATGATTTTGAAGGTTTCAGCGATTCCTTATCAAATCTGTGCTAGCAATACTGATGATGAGGATAAGGTATTTTGCTTTTGTAAACGTTCATGAGTAAATTTTGACCATATTTAAAGATACATTTATTACTTAATTTTTATTCTGACTGACAAGTATTTTCAAATCAAAATTTCTTTCTGAAAGTGGTCAAGTTCAAACTCTTCAATATATACAATAGTATAAGTTCTTATCATTTATTTAAGTTGTGTGTGTATATATATACATGTGTGTGTTTGTTATATTTGATAGAAAACCAACACCAACATATTTCAATACTATTTCACCTTGGGAGCCTATGACATTAAAGAACCTGTGTTACTTGTCTGTAAATACAACTAATTTGACTAGTGTGATGATGAAGGACTACAGGCAGAAGCAATCACAGTTTTGGAATGAATATATCCCTTCTGTTATTGAAAAGATTCTTCCTACATGGCCACCAACTTTTCAACCATATGAAGAAGAGCTTCGTATCTATAGTGCTGCCCTCTGGGGAGTTGTAGGAGCTGTAGGGCTATTCCTGATATTGACCCTACTTTGTTGTTGTCTCTACTGTAGAGCTAAAAGGTATCTTCCTAATGACCAGGATCTTCATATTAGTAGTGAAACTTTGTGTTTTTTTATGTTTTCGTGTTCTTTGGTTACCAACAATGGGTAATCTTAAACGTTTTAATTTTATTCTTGGTGTTTTAGATACTGATAATTAGATAGTTAATTTCAAATGTTTTAACAACACTTTCAACTTGTAACTACAGGTGCTGTTTTAGTATAATCAATTTTTTTGTATAACTCACACTCTGTTATGTCAACAAACATGTTGGTTCAGAAATTTACTTTAATCATTTAACTTTTGTTTTCTTATAATTTTTCTTTATACTGTTCACATTATTATTAATTGTTATGTTTAAGTTAGTTTTTTCTTATCAGTGGTTTGATATTAAAAGAAATTGTAGACTTTTAATGCAGCACTTTCTGTTATATTATTAATTATCAAAATATTGTTTATAGTTGAAAAGAATTGTTTTCCATGTTAACTGTAACAATTCGTTGTTTTGTAGTTTTTTGTCATTAACATAAAAAATACAGCAGGAACTATCTTTTGAAATATAAGTTCAGTGTAATTATACAGTGTATACACTGCTAGAATTTACTTAATTATGATTAGATTATGAAACTGAGTTTGAATGTATAATCATTTAATGAACAATTGAGGTTATGAAGAAAAAGTATCATTGCCACTTTTTAAATGATGTATCTGATCTACTTTTTATTGCCACATTACAGGCTTCTCTGAGGAACAAAAAGGCCTAAGGATTCAGATTTGGTTTAGTTTTCATGGTTTTTGCTTCTTTGTTTCTTTTTGCTTACCATAATGGTATTTGCCTTTCATATTTTTTTGTGTCTGCTTATTTTTGTTTTTTATTTAAAAGCCTACCCAGGATTATATTTTAGCTCCACACACACTCTTTGCTCTAATATCTTTTTTTTCTACACAGTCTGTGTGGTAATGGTGTTTTTGTATGCACCCTGATGAAGAATTGTATACATTTAGCAACTTTGTTTTTACTCTTACCTTAACTGTCATCTAAGTAAAAAAAAAAAGGAACTGAGAAATTGTTTGATAAAACTGTACTTGAAATATTAATTTATTAATATAAAAATTAGCTCCTGGTTATTTTTAAACTTTTTGTTATGTCACTTTTTTTTTTACTGTCATAAATATTACATGTATTTGTGACTTTAGCTAGTTAACTTTAATGTATAGATTAATATTTATCACAAAAACAAAGTAACAACCATCTAACTTATTTTGGGTTTGTTTCTTCATCACTTTCTTAGTAATGACATTGATACATAATCTAGCTTTTCTATTATGAATACTAAAAACTTAATTTTTTTAAAGAGTTAAATATAATTCACTTGCTAGAAATAGATAAAACTTAGTTCTAAAAAATTTGTTTTATTACTCAGTTGCTTTTATAGACGTTTAATTGATATCTGTTAAAAGTTACCCTTTGCTGATGTCTAGTAGTTTTAAGTACTTGTGATATGGTTTTGGCAATTGAATATAGATCATTGTCATAATCAAAACCAGTACAATCATCTAAGTCTAATCAGGGCTGTAGGAATTTAAAATTTGCTTCTTTTAATTCAATACATTAAATTGTGTACATGCAGTATTTATAGTTAAAATGGCTTAATATCTCATAGTATTAAATTTTAAAACTTTTTCTGTGGGGCATGTTTTGCATGCCAGTAGTGTGCTTTGCACACATCCTGTGTCACATTGTTTCACCTGAACACCCCAAAATTGCTTCCTATGGCAATGCTAATTATTAATAAGAAACTAATTTTAAAAATTATTCTAATTAATATACACTAACTGTAGTGTTTTTATCCTATGTTTTTGCTGCTAATTTTCTATCATCAGGGGTATCAATTGTTGTCATGACTAGTAAACTACAGGATCACTTAAGTCTAATTATTAATTACAGCTTTCCCATACAGTACCTTACTTCCACATATTAGCTTTCCTTGATTTTGTGCTGCCTTCTATATGCACAATATTTTGCTCACCATTAACCTTGAGGTTCCCACCCAAACTCACGATTTTCCGCATGCTATTGCCTTGCTGTAACATGCAAATGAGCATGCAACAACCCTCCACTAATAGGAGTGTGACACATCCTCCTAGCACAGCTGACTCCCTCTATACTGATTGTACAATTATCAACTCTCGATTTGGCACTTGCATATGTATACATGTCATTTTTTTTCACTTGTTCCAGTGGTTACTGCTTCACTTTATGAAACATTTATTTCTGTTGTCTTTACTTAGTTTGTGGAAGGCTTTTGATTATTTTTTCCTTCCTTTCCACATTATTAACTCACAAGTCCATGGTACTGCTACTTCATTTGGTGTGGATCCATAAGATTACTACCACTACTGTCTGTTGAGGAGGTGTTGGCTATAGTGCATCGGGAGTTGGAGTCCTACATGCAGGCTGGTCCATCTTCTGACCCATTGATGGATATTCCTTTCCTGAGGGATCCCGTTCAAGAGGACAATGATTGTGTCAGCTTGTTTCCTCCAACAGCTTTCACTGCACCTTCTCAATCCACTGTAATTGGTCTGCCTCATCCTTTTTGATATGGTTTCTCAGGTTTGTTACCTTTTGTCCCTTTTTCCTTTGTATTTTTATTCTTCCACTTCCCTGCTCCATTCTGGCCTGGCTACTGATTATTTTGTTTTTTCCCATTCTTCCAATATTCAGGTCCACACAGATCAATTTCTCTCTCACCTTTGTGGTGGAGCCAGCATGCCACGTCCTCTTTATTTGTCAGACGCACATGCTTTGGCCTACCATCAGGCTAAGTTGCCCTTTCTTGACTCTCACAAGGCTCATTCATTACAAGTACATACACCTTATTGCTTGTCATATCAAGGGTGCCCTGAATCTTGTCGCCAATCATCTCTCACGACTTGACAAGATTCTATCAATAAAGTGGTCCCTTGATCCTCTGGTATTCAAGTGGCTATGTTCTCAACTTGGTACTCCTCTTTTGTATGCTTTTGCCACTTATCCCAACACCAAACTTCTCCTGTTCCTCATTCTGCAGCTCTGGCTTTGGATGTGTTCAGTCAGGACTGGTCCAACCTCGTTCTTTATGCATACCCTCCTATTCATCTTCTTCCTTGTGTGCTTTCCCTTATTCAGACCATTCCATGTTGAGTCCTCCTGATCATTCCGTTGGCTGGCTCACCCATTGTTTCCTGTATTGAACCTTCTACAGTCCTTTCAGCCCTTCCTCTACCTTTGTCATGATCCCTCCTCCTTCAACCATGTTCTTCCCTCTTACACCCAGCTATATCTATACTCCATCTTCACACATGGGTTTTGTTCAGTCCCTTGTGAGATTCTCCAGTTTCTCTTCATGTATAGTCTTCCTTCTCATTCCATTTGTTTTTCCTCCCTCCTTGTATATCAACATAAATGGCACATTTTCTATAGCTGGTTTCTGCATCGTGGCTTCTCCCCTTTCCAAAACTCTTTCCCCACTTATCTGAATTTTTCACTTGGCTGTTTGACCAAGGGTTATCACTTTTGACCAGTGATGACCACGGTGCAGCACATTTGAATACTTTCCAATTTTTCTCTGTACCTTTGTCCCCAAACATCTGTAGCTCATGAGGGGGACAGTGTTCACCAAATCTTCCTTTCATCCATTGCTCATCCATATTTTCATTTTAATCCTGATCATCTTTACTGTCCCATCTAGCAGTTTGCTGTTATTTGGACTACACTGCTTTTTTTTGTGACTCCTGCTCCCATCTGTTTATCCCTTGCAGCTCTTCTTCTACCCTGGATCTTTTTCCCATTACTCTCACAGGTTGGCTAAGACTCATTCATCTAGCATATACTTCTTTGGATGGAGATTCTCTTTGACTTCTCTTACCAAATTCAATAATTTCTTTCTCTCTCTGACTGCTCACTTCCATTATCCATAGGAGGAGATTGTGCAGGCTTGCATGTGGACTACTCCACATACTTTCATCTTGCATTATCTTCATCATCAGACCATCTCACCTTGCTCCTGCTTTCTTCTGAGTGTGACAAATTCCACTCAGTAGAGTAGGCCAGTGGTGTTCAGTTGGCATTGATGGTGTGAACTCTCTTCGTACTGTAGAATGGAAGAAAAATTCCAGATGCTGCCTGGTTTTGGACTGAAGATGAACCACCAAATACAGTTCACCCCTCCAGCTGGCTTTCCCCTATCCTACCACAGTCTGGATGTCAGTTCCAGGGTAGTCTGGTGTTGGATTAGCACAGAACCAGCTAACACGAATCCTCACAAACGTGGTTGGTAGCCCCCCTTCTACCCCAGACCAGACAAAAACTTCAGGACATCCCATGGTTTTGGACTGGATTTCACCCACCACGTTTGCTTTTCCCCATCCTACCATTGCTCGGATTTCCAGGTGGTCCAATGTTAGATGTGTGCAGGTTCAGCACAAATGAGCACTACCTAGGATGACAGAACAGAACAGAAGTTCTTTTTTTCCCTTCTGGTTCCTGATATGGAGATGAAAATGGTTGGGATCCTCCTTCTACCACAGACTGGATGAAACATTCCCATTACTGCCTGGTTTTGGACTTGAGTTGACCCACCACATATAGCCTGATGCACTTAAGCCACACTACACCATAAAGCATTTTTTATTCACTTCACAATTTCACACTACTTATTACACCGACTTCCCCTGAGCCCTGACACAGTGTGATCAGGGTCACTCTGTTGCCATCTGCTGGTAATACCAGCATCAAGTCATCATTGAGACTGATGCAGTCTTGCAGACATTCCATGAGATAGCATGGTTGGGCTCAACCAAAATTTACAACTATGCAGTATGGCTTAAGCTAATCTTACAAATATTAAACCTATCCATTCTGATTGTGAGAACTTGCCTATTCTCTTGCCTGTAATGTCAAAATTTTGAAGGCGGGTCCATTGTCCCTTGATTTTGACTTTGCCCCTCTGGAATAACTTCTGCAGATGTCCATGGTTGGCTGGGCTTACAACACTTGAAGCCTCAGCTAAAATGCTATTCATATCAGCCTTTTAAGAAGTATCAGATCTTTTAGTGTATAATGCCTATGCTTGCAAAGCATGGCCTGTGTATCAGTAGTTTGTAAGCCCAGCCAACATGGTGAGCTCTGGTATTGAGCAAAAGGCCTCTTCAACAGTAGCATGGAACACACAAAGTTTGTGGTTGAAATACTCCTATATTCTTCTTACTGGAATCTATACAGAGCCAGTAAAAAGAGATTTGTCACGTAAGGTCATTTTGTCATAGGGTGACTGAAGATACATCAATTAATTTGTGTGTCATAAAGTTAGCAATATGAACATTTTGATTTGGAGAGTGAATAGAGAAGGTAAAAGATTTCACTAGCATCTGTAATTTTACTCATATCTTCATGTTAGATATGTTAATGTCATAGCTTAGAGATTTAGATTACTCATTCTTCATCGTGGTTAAATGTATGTTCTGTCATATTTTAAACATTTAAACTATAATACATACTTGTTTTGGGATTTGGGGGAAAAAGCTAAGGTCAGTAAATTAGAAAGTTTAAACTATAACTATATATTAAAGTAAACTGCTGTTCTTCTCTAAAAACTTAAGTATTTATTTCTGTATAGCAAACATATTGTAGATGATAATGAAATTGCCACAAGAGAAACATCAGGCACTTATCCTTCAGAATTGTAGTTTTACTCATATTTTCATCTTAGATATGTTAGTGTCATAGATTAGAGGTTTAGATTACTCATTCTTCATCATAGCTAGATGCATGTTTGAAATGCTTGCATTGTCTTAATGTGTGTATGTGTGTACCTGAGTTTAAACATTTAAACTGTAATAGTATACTTGCTTTGTGTTTTAGGATTTTGGAAAAAATGCTAAGGTCATTTAATAATTATAATAAAATTATGTTTAAACTCTAACTGTATATCAAAGTAAACTGTTGGTCTTCTCTAAAAACTTAAGTATATGTTTCTGTATAGCAAACATATCGTAAATGAAGATGATGAAATTGGCACAACACAAACATCAGGTCCTTACCCTTCAGAACTGGCCATAGAGTATGTATTGATTTAGTGAAGCCTTTTATACTACATTTTAATGTTTACAGGAATTTATAATCTGATTACTTAGTATTGTATATAATCCACTTGTTCTGGTTTGCATTTTTATCAAATCAAACCATGTACTCTAACTTTATTCTTTTACTTGTAAATAGTGTAATTATTATTATTATTGTATAATGATATGGTTTGTATATATTTCTTTTTAAAAACAATGAAAACTTCATACATTAAAATATATTGTTATTTTTCTGTAACAGCTTAAAACTTGGAATTGATGAAAAAACATAAATATTCAGTGCTTTTTTCAATTTTATTTTGCAATATACATTTATATGCAATCCTTGTCTTTTACATTTCTTGATAAAAAGTTCATTGTGTTGTAAAAATATTTCTGAGCTCTATATTTTTAATCAAGCAGTTAAATTTCCATATGAGTATGATGTTTTTTGTTTTTATTCCAACTTTACTCACAGAGAAGGCTACTAGGCAAAAAAAAATTAAATGTTACATTTTTGTGTGTGTATGTGTTTATGGTTAAAAACATTGATAATTAACTTAAAACTATTAGTATATTTTCTATATCTCTGATTGTGTTCAGTTTCAGGGTAATGAAGAAAAACTACAATGTCAAGTATAATCCAAAGAATACTATCTTGGCTGATAACAACTGTGATCGACATACAGCCGTCTGATTTTTACCTTATCATAATAACTGTTTTGCTCCTATGCAATTATCAGCAGTGGTATCATCCTACTGATCTTTTGATGATTACTTCTGATGTCTGAAGGTACACAAGGATCATCAAATGTTTTTCATGTTGTTATAGAATTTCTTTGTGTGTGTGTGTGTGTAGAGGTAACATCCTTATAAGTATATATGTATGAATTGGATGTACCAGATACAGACCTATCATCTGTAGCAAACAATAGAATGTATATAACATGGTTCTCATCTCAATGATTGATTGACATTGGATTTGTCTGAATCATTTGTCAGTGTTAATATAAATAAATCTGATAAGGAAATATAATTTTAAGGAGGTTGTGAACTTTTATACTGCACTCATATTTCAACTGTAATTTACTGAAAATTAACAGTGTCAACTTTTCAATCTATTGTTCTATAGTTTCAAAAAAGTCACTTTCCCTGCAGTTTAAAACTTTCTCATTACTGCATAATTTGATAATTAATTCTTGGCCTGTCATATGATAACTGAAAATGTTCTTTGAAAGTTGTCTGCACAGATATTTCTCAACTATTCTAAGTATGGTTTAAGTGCTATTCTTTCCTTAGGCAAACTTGATGTAAGTACATTTACCATTGTAACACAGCTTATATTTTGTTCTTCCTAAAAACTGAAACAAAATATAAATATTGGGTCATTGCAATACATAATGTTTCAATTTATTAATCAGATGTTGATATTATTATGTCTTTTTGTTTATGATAATGTAACAGCACATTACATGTACTGTTGTTTTTTCTGCAGGTGTACATAGTGTGACCCTGTGGTACATTTGCTATTTCTTGATTAAATACATGATATTTTGTCCTCACAGTTAATTTCCTCTCCATTACATAGACTAACCATATGGTGATATTGTAACACATTTATTGTTCCCTTTATATAACTCATCAAAGGTAACTATTTCTAATAATTTAGAACATGATGAAATTTAGTTGAATGGATGGCAACTGCCTGTTCTAAAAACACAATTATAGAAGACGATGTTTTAAAAGTCTTCTGCCTTTTATCTTTAGGTCAGCGTGTGTATGGTGTTGTCAGTCTTTATAGTATTATGTTGGATTGTGGAGGGTGTATTATCAACCAGAATACTCTAAAGACAACAGCCAGTTGCCATACATTCAACTAAATTTCAGCATGAATACTGTGCATAAACAATCTATCAAAGAAGTTGCTAAGTGTTGTCATTCCATACAAATAACTAGACATCAACATTGTGGCATCTTGATACTTGCACGTTTTTAACCAGATAAGAGGGAGTATTTTTATTAATGTGGAAAGTTTTATTAAAATCTGCTATTAAGTGTTACAGTTGTAGATTAATTAAAGCTGTGTCAATAAATTGTATTTTCATATTACATACTTAAAGATTTGCACAAAAATCTAGATTATGCATTATATATATATATGTGTGTGTGCGTGTGTGTGTATATCCAGTTAGAGTGGAAGGCAGTTTCTTTTTAAATGTGCAATTCATTTTAGTGAAATAACATTGTATCAAATTAACATAAAATGCAATTCTGAAATTTGTTTCCATATCATCATACTTGATGTGTGTATTTTAAATCACATTTTTAACATTACTCAACTCATGCAAATTTTGATATTGCAAGATATATATTACATGATTTTTTTCATAATTTGTTCAGTTTATCATCCTTGACATTTATATATAATCAGTTTTTGTTTCTTGTCAAAAATGGAATACAAATAATTAGTCAAAGTAGTTGCCAAGGTTGTTTCTGTTGCTTTACATGTTTGAATCTTGATGATTTATTATTCATTTTTAAAATAAATGAGAAAATAAAATGCACAATATTTTCACAAAGTAAATTATTTTTGAATGTGTGACTTTTTTGACTATGTTAAATTAGATAGTACATCTATTAAGAATTACTTGTAGAGATAAGAGATCAACTTACTTTGTATTTCTTATCGGTGATATACCTCTATATTGACTTTGTTAGATACAGAAAATGACTCTCCTCCATTGAAAAGTGTGCTTTAGTAATTTACACATTATGTAAACAAGTTCTTTTGAATTTACACTCAGAACCAGTAATTATTTTTTATACAAACATTATATAAAAAAATTTGGTACCAATTCAATTCTTAAAATGTAATTTAAGAATCATGAGTTTTAAATATGTCCTGATTATCCAAAAATAATACATTACAGGAATGTATTATATTATTCATATTTTTTCTTAGATTGTAACATGATAGTTAGACAAATATATAAATAGTAATCTTCTACTACAAATAACAATTTAAATGTTTACCAGAATACATTATAATAACATGCTTCACATATTTTGAATTTCTTTGAATATGATCTTACTTTTAGGATAAAATATCAAAAAAAGCTAAATCTTGTTTTAAAAGATACATTCAATTAACATTATCTATGTCCTACACTAATCTATGGTACACTTGAATTCAAAATTATAGTATGGGAAACTTAACAGCAGAACCACCTGAAAGCTCTATTTGCAAAAGAAAACAAGCACAGTAAACTATTTCATATTTAAAGATTTAACATTTGATGCAACTATAAAGTTGTAATTTTCTTCAACAACTGTAAAATGGCTGTTACATCACACACGAAATGTTCAGTTTAAGTTAAAAGCATATTTTCATAAATATATTGGCTGTACTCAAATTCATCCTGAAGGGCTGAATAGAATGAATTAAAGAGAAAAGGAATGAAATAGAATACCAATAAACCCTCTTCTTGTTTGTTTGTAAGCTCAAAGCTGTAAAATGGGCTGTGTCCATTCCAAAAGTTTAATCCTGAACTGTAGCATTATAAGCTCTCAAATTGAAGCTTACCATTGAGCCATTGGTGGGGGGTGTAGTGTATAAAGTTATAAAAACATGTAACTATTAAATAGTGATTAATCATGATCGATGTTAATTGTCTGAAAACGTTTGATATTTAATGTTTTTGTGGTAGCTAATGTTTTGTATTTACAGATTAAAACTACTCATATTATGATGTGGTTTTCCAAGGTACAGTTAACCAACAGGTAAGCTAATTAAGATTCCAAGAATATGACATATATATATATAACTTTAACTCAACCAGAAGTGAAAAAGACTGACATATATATTGCTCATTTACTAAAGACAATTTATTAAGAATGGTCTGGTGGCATATAAATTCAATTACACCACAAAAATGTTCAAATGATGTAAAGAAGGTATTATCTTTCTCACTGCTTGGCAGCTATTTTGTGTGTATCGCTGTACTAAATACTAAGATGTCTACAATAGACAATGAAGAGAGAACTCATTTTACTTAGGATTATATATAATCATAAGCAACAACAGTGCCCCACACCTATCTAAGGCTGTCCCTACCTTTTAATCAGGAAGACCATCCAGAGTCTAGAACTTCCTGAGCTGCTGTCCAAGCTGTATCTCTTGATCTCACCTCTACTATGTAGGAGAAGGTGATAGCAAATAGTAACTATGGCTATGTAAGATCTGGATATCTTGAAACCATCTCAGGAGATCTCTATAAGGCCAATACACACTGCTAGATACAAGTACCTGTTATTAGAGTATAGTTGGTGAAACTGGTGTAGAAAGAAGTCCACCAAATATAACTACCTCACCATCAGATGGGGGCAGCATGCATTTTACAGGGTTACCGAAAACCTCTGGCACAGCCATGAGCCCTTCCAAAAGAAAAATGGGTTGCTTACATTAATGGAGGTCATCTGAATATTTGATATCAAGCTGAGGAGCCAGGAGGTCTGCATGCAACTATGGTAACATGGCTGCTTATTGTGATTTATTTACAACACCTACAATGGAAGCCATACTCTAGTATGGCATAGACAAATAATGAGAAGCTCCTCATTGACAAAATATATTGATAGCCTTCTAAGCAAGCACTACAGAGATATCAAGGACACTTCGTTTCTGACAGAAGCTTTTTCTGTGGTCGCATGGTTAGTGGTAATCACATTAAGCAAATTTTTTGGGAGGAGAAAACCAAGAACTGGGACTGTAGCGACTCAACCAGAATGTGCTTTTGAGATGCCACCAACTCATTAGGCTCATCCAAAACTAACATGTTTCACTAACATATAAACTGCCAATACCACAGTGCACACCAATAGGTAGTCATGGATACATTTGGCCCTGTTACCATGGCAACACTTCTGACAGTGCTTTGGATGAAAGGGTTAGAACTTTTGTTTCAACTGTGGGCTATTTTGATATCAGAAAATAAACTTTTCTTGTTCTGTTTCTGCAACTGAAAAGATAGCAACTTTCCATGTAAGTGCCAGACAACAGTAGGAGAGTTGACTGCAACCAGTGGCTGTTGCTGCTTCATCTAGTGAAGCCTGAGTTGATTCTGGCTAATAACCTGAGTATGTGCAACAGCTTGCTTGTGTCTTAAAAGGTGTGGTGGGCATCTCAGTTTGCCCTTGGTACATGCATGTGAAGATACATGGATACAAAGTTGAGTTTTTGATGGATGATGATGCTTCCGGAATTTGTACCTTATAGCAAATTCAAGTACTTGAGACAAACTCACTACTCAAGTCTTTTAAAACTAATACAACTAATACTTTATTCTGGTTAACAGAGGTAACCTCAAGAAAAGAAGTTAAGCACAATCATATCTTACTATCATTAGTGTCTCACAAAAAATGAATGTCATTTCTGATGTAGGATTAAGCATTGGTATCTTAACAAATTTACTTTCTGCAGAAGTTATCAGCCAGCATGACCTATGGTAGAGATGATCTGCCACTCTGAGGTAAAACTGGTCAATACCAACACGTCAGAATTCAGAAACAGTGACTCCACTGTTTAGTATTGAGGAGGGAGTTACATTACACTGTAATGTACAAGTGGTGTTGTATGGAGTTAGTCTAGTGAGGTAATTTGCTATGGTACACTGCAGTGATAAAACCAATGCAAACTGTTTTCTGTCCAAAACTCAATCTGCACTGGCTCAGAAAGGTATTGTCCCAAATGCTAGTTTTGTGCCAGTTTTCGTTTGCATTCATGGACAGCTTGCTTTTCAACTTCCAGCTTTGATGACTATTGTTATGGTGGGTTAGGCACATGTGACTGAAGCTAGTTATATAGATAGTACTGCTTCAGTTGCACTACAATTTGTAATAGCCTAAAACTGTGTTCAATTGTAATTTAGATTTAGTATTTAAATATTTGTCGATATATCTCCAATTTATGATATTTGCCAACAAGATTGATACAAACAGTTTTCTTTTTTTAATACAAATGTGTTTTAATATACAAATAACAATATAATTTACAATAATAGTTATTACACACAATGATTTATATATAAAAGTTTCAAACACTTACATGCAATATAAAGTCTTCTTTCCAGTCTGGAACTTCCTTGATATCTTATCGAGGGTTGACGATAAGAGAGTTATTATGTATATATATATATCGTGGCAGTTGTTTTGGTTTAATATCACA